AAAACAAAATTGTAAAAAAAAGATGATTTTTTTTATTTTTTATTTCCTTTGTTCTATACGAAGGACGTTTAAGAAGAATTAAATTGTAAAAATAATTAGTTATAATAGTATCACTTAATTCAAAAATACTTTCTCCCTGAATATATTGATTTTTTAATTTAAAATCACTGAAAAGAAAACAAGAACCATTATTCATTATTTGGCTGAAGGAATATTTAGAATAGAAGAGAATAAGAGAAGCTGCTAGAAGGGGGTCAAATACAGGGACAGTTCGGATGAGAACAAGGGGACAATGGAGGTTAATTCTGGTAAAGACGATTTTATCAGCAAGAAAGAATTGTACGAACGAATTTTGGACAGTTAAATTATTGCATTAATATCTGTTCGTTAATACAATCAAATAATGTAATAAAACGATATTAAAGCACTATAATTATGCCATTTATGGGTATTGAATGATAGGTCAGGAGCCTATAGGCGCCTACGCCAGTAGCGCTTTACCGCCAATTAAGTGTATTTTCAAAGGAACCTTTTTTTTTTTTTTTTTTGTTCTTCCCTACCTCGCCTTTTAGGCTATACGGGATTTTCCGGGCCGGGGGATGAGGGCGGGGAATTTGAAATCCCCTCCGGCACCGGGACGAGAACTCGTACTTTTTAAATCATCTCAATTCTCTATTATCCGGTTGCCAGGCAACTAGCGGTGCTGTGAACATGCTTTAGCCTATTGGGCCACGCCGCCCCCCCTTTTTTTTTTTTTTTTTTTCTAAGGAACCGCTTCAAATACTTTAAAAAGTAATCGAATGTAGTGATTTTGAATTTCTTTTTAAATTTTATTTATTTGTTTTCGGGGAATGCCCCTTACAAATAGAGTTGGCTATAATGATAACAATGAACAAATTAATATAAAAAGCATTTACAACTTATATATAACGTAAAATTCATTAGGATTCAGTGGCAACATTCTCTCAGGATAACAACCAAACATCTGACTGTATGCCTAAATATAAACAATGAAATATAATATAATAACCCATATAATAATAATAGTAATAATTCTTTATTTATTCTGGGACGAGTCCCTTTAGAATAATACAGAGACAAAAATGTGGGCTAAGGAGCCTCAGAGATACATAAACAAGAATATAGTTTCATTAAATAGTAAAAAAAAAAAAAAATAAATAATTAGAGAAATTATAAGTTACTTTCTAATTTACATCAGTTAATAATAAAAAATATAAATAAACATGAAGTAAAAATAATAAAGAACGATATAGTACAATAATTAAAATAATACATCTGAATAAAGCGAGCAGTAAAGTGATAAATAGTAATAAATAGCACTGGTAATAAAGATAAATACAGGTATAGTATACAATATATAATACATAAACATGTCAACTGTAAATAGCAAATGACACAATAAAACACTATATGCATATAAATATATTTCATGCATGAATAATAAATACCACAAGCAGAACAAAGTAAGTAAACTTCAATGTTTTGGAAAAATATATGTAATGTCATTGTTCATTGAAAATGAAGGACCTCAATCTGCAACATTGCCTCGTGTAATAAAACAGGTTCTTGTAGAAGACTTCATTGTCAGTTTTGAATGATTCCAAATAATTCGCCCTGGTCATGTTAATGGAATGAGGTAGGAAGTGTTGGCGGAAGTGAGCATAAATCGGGTACCGGACAAAAATATGAAAAAAGTCCTCTAATTCATTTAGGTTACAAAGTTTGCAAATGTCTTTTGGCTTGAAATAGAAATAAGTATTAATAAACGTTAATTTAACATTATAATTTGAAATATAAATAAATGAATTCTCCAGATGTTTTATCTGTTTAATTACAAACGACGCTTGATTTTCAATTGAATTTTTTTGTAATGATTTTTTATTTTTAATTGACCTTATTGATGTTTCTTTTTGCCTAAGCCAAAAATGCTTTAATATTATTATTATTTTCTGATTATACAGCTTTAGTAAAAGCCCAATTATGACGAGATTAAGCCAAATGCTAATTTTCAATGACCAAAAAATTAACTCAAGTCAAAGTCGTTAATCCGCCATGTTTGGACATAATCTTCTGGCAGTGCATTAATTATTTTTTGTGGAAACTTTATTGTTGTTTTTCAATAAATAGTTACACAACGATATACAATTTATAGAGATAAGGGGGGAGATAGTGAACGGAACTAACACATAAAAAACATATCATAATTATATTTGTTGCATTACTCAGGTAATGGAATGATACTCGGATTTACCTTAAACTTTTCCTACCAGTAGTACCTACTTGAAGTGTTTTGATGAAAAATGTTATTGTAAGCTATATTTTTAGGTGTATTTGATATACTAGGAGATGAGGACCCTTCGCCAGATGTAATGTTATTGAATATTTTTATTTCCAAGTTAGGTTGTGGATATCAATCTGTAGAGTGGCTATTATTATACCATATATGGATTTAATTTTCTTTTTGCATTTGATATAATATCTGAGATAAGAGAAGTTTTCATCCTTAGATTTTAGATGATGATCCTTACAAGAGCTGTAGTTTATCAAGTAATCGTGCGTATACATTAATAAAACGATTAATAATTGATTTAATATTTTATTCTTGACACATATACAAAATCAGTGTATTGAGTCTACTTGTAACACCAATTCCTACCATTCTTTTTTCTATTGGTAAAGTATAATAATTTACCTTTTAGTTGAAAGAATATATGTACAACAAATAATCATAAAACACTGATTTATTATTTCATGCAATCCTGTCGAATTATATATCATTAATATATCAAGAATACATATTAAATAAATAAAAAAAATATGAAATCAATTACATTATAGCGACTTAGATATGGACATTTATAGTAGTTGTTATAAGTAAATCATTCAAAGCATGAAGAGCCCAAAAACAACCAATTACGTAAATAACTATCAAACAAACTTTAAAAATTGTTCAAACATCACTATATCTTTCTGTTCCGCTGTTTTGTCGTTCATATATATATATATTATTATTGATTGCAAACCCATATCATAAAAAAGTAATGTTTAATGAAATCTACGAGACGAACAGCTATGACTTTCAACATGGGACTAACGCAGATTGGGACAGTGATAGAAATCAATATCCACAGCTGATTTCAAATTTTTAAAGATAATTTACGAACTAACATAACCTGATGGCCAATAATAATATTTGTGTTTATATTTAATGTGTAATCATTATAGGGAGATATATAAAACATTATAGTACATTTCGGTGGCATTCCTGTCACATTGTCTTTACAATTGTTCACGTCATACAATTATTATCGTAACTTTATTAAATTATTAAAGCAAATTAATTGTTAAACAAAAAGCTATGTGCAAATGTAGACAAAACAGTCAATAAAAAAAACATGATTTTTCGTAATTAAAAATTAATATTTTTAAATGAATGAATTACGCACTATTTGAATTTAGTTATATATTCATTATATACGTATATTTCCAAATTAATGTTTTAATTCAGCTGATAAAAGAAATAATAAAAATTAAAGATGATAAAGAGTAACACGGTTAGTATTACTAATATCTAATGGAGGACGCGTATATTTCCTATCCTGATTACACAGCTAAATATTAATATTAATTAAATTAATTATATCTCTGTTGCAAAAATATTATAAATTTTTATCATGAAGTTCAATACTTATAAAATTTTTTATTAGATATTGATTGCTAGTTCTTTTCACTTTTAGCTGACTAATGCACTTATAGACGTACTAATGGTGGACTTCACGAAAAATCTAATAAATACAAATAATTTTTGCCAATGCGAAAAAGTCTGATACATTATGGTTTATTCATTAAAAATAATATATATATATATATATATATATATATATATATATATATATATATATATATATATATATATATATATATATATATAAATCAGCTTTATATTATGAAATCGGAAAAATCACAAAATACCGAAAACATAACTAAGTGACAAATATTATAGCACACACAGTAAAAAATTGTAAAATAACTTTATTTTGCCACTTTAGTTTATAAGTATAATAAATCAAATTACATTTCGTTATGTTCTTACAATTGAACCATTATCCAGTATACAACTTTAATTAAATAATTTATAATAATATACGATGGATATACAGCCAAATAAAGAAACCAATAGCATTTGGATAACATAATTCTTACATGAAAAAGTCAAGTTCCATAAATATCACATTAATGCAATGTTTTAACTTAGGTCCTTTTGGAAAATTTTTGAGATGGGGTGGCAATTTTCCCCCACTCCCCCCCTCATTCTAACACTGCGACGATACTCCCCTCGACAACAGATCTCTCCGTGCTTTATGTTAAGGCTTCTACCTTCTGCCTTGCATTACTTGATGGAGGAAGAGTAAGCAGCTCCAAAATCTGACACTATTTCATCAACCATCATAAAGAAAAACCGAGGTAAACTATATTTACATAAACATCTATAAATAATAAATTTATGTACCATTAATTAAAATTATTACAACTATTGCTCACGCAAATAAGGATTTTATTAGTTACGTATAATTATAATTTTATGACGATTAGGTGTGTGAATACGAACTTATGACTCGTTTTGAATTATATCCTACGGCTTTAACGAAACAATGGTAAGAACTGACCAATTGTCTGATAGACATAACACTTAGAGACCAGCCCCTCGACTAATGCTCTGGAAGTCGTAAAGAAAAAAAATCAACACTTCACTCCAATCAATATTAAAGCTGCACCTGTTATCCGACAATTGATAACATCAACTAACGCATATTCGGTCAAACAGTAAATTTTTAACAAACAAAGGATCCTATGCACAAAGTTCTCCATTATGCTCCTACGCTACATCACGTAGTGAAATGTAGGTTTCAAAAAACGACAGCGCTAGTGAGTAGTGAACCTAACTTAACCTCCCGTTGCCTTTAGTAGACTTTTAAATGGAAACGTTTAAGTTGTGAGTTAGGGTTGTTTTGTTTTGTTTTTGTTGTTTTATATGAAATTAATTTTAGTTACTAGTGATTGCTTCAAATATGTCAACTACTGATGTGTGGACTTGTCTTCGAAAAGATGGTAATCTTTTTTATTAATTATTTATTTAATACTCGATTTAAAAGATAATTTTTTTTATGAATTCATTGTATCTGTATTTTCCGTGTAAATTATGTACTTGCCACATTTTTTAATGAATTCATTATGTTGTTTTTTTGTTATTAATTTTGTAATATTTGGATCACCATACTATATTAATTATTTTTTACTTTATAATTACCTCATATAAAAAATATTTGTAAGTTTAAATTTTCACTTGAATTTTGACAAATCACGAAAAGGAGGATAATTATGCATTATGTAGCCATCTCACTTTAGGAACACTTCTTGATGTATGTATTTTGTATTTAGCATTCCCATTAATTGTTGTTATATTCTTTATGTCAAAAGAGTAGGCATCTCACTCTTTATTTATATATAGAGATGTTTGACAATTTACAACTTACGTTGATAATTAAACATTTTCGATGTTCAGAAAATATTTGCTGATTCCCTATTTCACTCTAGCAGTTTGATCTTTTATGCCAATATAAATGATCATGAAGTAAACTTTTATGAACGTTACACAGATATTTTTATCGAATCATCGCTTACGGCACTCATTATATCCACTTTTTCCTAATGCTGCTATTTACGGACGTTCGTTATTTTTATCATGAAAGTTCCGTATTAAAATAAAAATAAAAATTTTAAAATCAAATTACCTTTATTAGTTAACTACATCGGAGCCGCCATGTTGATGAACTCTAATAATCTATGCTTTCTACTACGATGTTCAACGTTCTGAAGAAAGGGACCATTATTTTCTTTTCCAGAAATGGTGAGCGAGTGTTATTTTAAGCTCTTTTAATACAATTTTGGTTATTATATTCCTGGCTTCCTAGCGCTGAAGGTCGATCGTCCGTAATTAACAAGCTATCAGATTTATGCGAACGTGTTTCCGATTATATGTGAAAACTAAAAATGGCCATTGGTCATAGAGCTGGGAGTAAGACATTGTTTGTTTTCATATGTTTGTTGAATTAATGATATTATCATCCGTAATTGATTCCATTAAATAATTATACGCGAGTCGTGAGTCATAAGTTCGTTTTCTACAAAGTGGTATGGTTTAGAAAAATATATGTGTTAAGTCTTAAACGATACTTTTTTTATTTATATATATATTAGAAATTGTCCTATTTTCTGTTTCACCCATTTCTGAAATAATGTCTTATCATTTCATTACATAAAATCAACATTTTGAAAATTAATTATTGTTGAAGTAATAATTTTTTATCCTTTGAGTATATAAAATCTGGATTAAGATAATTGATAATTATTTGAATATTTTTTCTATCTAGCTTAATGTTATGGTGGTGTTCATTTAAAAATATTTTAATACATCTTTCTATTGTACTAATGTTTTGCATATATTTCAATATTTGTTTTTTTTTTCTGTTTTTTTCTCAGTGAATGAAACCTAAACCGAGAAATACGAGTATGGAGACTACTCAACCGGAGGCCAAAGTGCCTTCAACTCCTCGAAAGTACAAACAGATATGTGCTAATAAATTTAAATTTGACCCACCTCCTGAAGCACCTGTATTTTCACCCACATTAGAAGAATTTGAAAATCCACTTAAATATATAAACAAAATCAGGCCTATTGGTCAGAAAACAGGAATATGCAAGATCATCCCACCAGCAGGGTGGAAGGTGCCTTTTGTTTTAGATATGGATAGCTTAAAATTTACTCCCAGAATACAAAGAATAAATGAACTTGAAGCTAGAACTAGAATTAAGTTAAATTTTATTGATCAATTAACTAAATTTTTTGCGCTTAAAGGGAAGACTTTCCAAATACCAGTTATTGAAAAACGAACCTTAGATTTATACACACTTCACAAACTTGTAAAAGAGGGGGGAGGTCATGAAGAAGTAACTAAAGCAAAAAAGTGGGGAGAAATTGCCCATAAAATGGAATTAACAAATGTTAAGTCTCCTGTTTTATTGAAAACTCATTATGACCATTTAATACTTCCTTTTATAACTTCCAGATTAGAAGCAGAAAAAAATAAGGAAATGGGAGATGGTGAGACATTAAGAGATAGTAATGGAAATCCTATTGAGAACAGTGATTCAAATTCTCCATCATTTAGAGAACTGAAAAGTTTAACATTTTTAGGTCCAGGTCCAAAAATGGCAGTTTGTGATCTGGCTTTTACAAAATCTGTCAAAACCAGAACACGCGGTAAGAAGATAATGTATGAATTCGATCCATTGGCGAAATATATGTGTAAAAGTTGTTCCAATGGAGATATTGAAGAGTCATTAGTGACTTGTTTAAGTTGTGAAGATAGATACCATTCTTCCTGTCTTATACCTCCACTAACTGATACAAATTTGAATGCATGGAGGTGTCCAAAATGTGTGGCTACAGAAGCTTGTAAGTCATTAGAAGAATTTGGTTTTGCTCAGGCAGAAAGAGAGTATACATTGACTGAATTTCATGAAATGGCTGATACTTTCAAAGAAAATTATTTTAAAATGAAACCTACAGATGTACCTACTAGTAGAGTAGAATCTGAATTTTGGAAAGTTGTTTCTTCTATTGAAGAATCTGTTACGGTTGAATACGGAGCAGATTTACATGTTATAGATCATGGTTCTGGCTTCCCTATTAAAAATAAGCCCACTAAAGCAGACTTAGACGATGACATTTTTAATAAATATGCAGAATCAGGGTGGAATCTTAATAATTTGCCAGTCTTAAAATCATCAGTATTACGACATATCAGTGCAGATATATCAGGAATGAAAATCCCTTGGATGTATGCTGGTATGTGTTTTGCCACTTTTTGTTGGCACAACGAAGACCATTGGAGCTATTCCATTAACTATTTGCATTTGGGAGAACCAAAAACATGGTATGGAGTTCCTGGAAGTAGTGCTGAAGATTTTGAACGAGCAATGAAGGCTGAAGCTCCTGAACTTTTTGATTCTCAACCAGATATTCTTCATCAGCTAGTTACCATTATGAATCCTAATGATATAATGAAAACTGGTGTCCCTATTTATAGAACTGACCAGAGAGAAGGTGAATTTGTGATTACATTTCCTAGGGCTTATCATGCTGGTTTCAATCAAGGTTTTAATTTTGCGGAAGCTTGTAATTTTGCTCCTTATGATTGGCTTCATATTGGACGAGAATGCATTAGTCATTATTCATCTTTGAAGAGATTTTGTGTATTTTCTCATGATGAATTAGTATGTAAAATGGCTGAAATATATGATGAGTTAGATAAAAAAATTTTACTTGCTACATATAAAGATATGAGAACGATGGTTAATGCAGAACATACCAAGCGCAAGTTTCTACTTATGCAGGGTATAAAAAATGCTTCAAGAGTCAGATTTGATGAACTTCCAGATGATGAACGCCAGTGCTTTGTATGTAAAACAACTTGCTTTCTATCTGCATTAGTTTGTAAATGTAATCCATTAAAGCTTGTTTGTCTAGACCATTATAAACAATTGTGTGTTTGCTCTGTATCAAATTACAAATTGAAGTATCATTATAAAATTGATGAACTTGTTGCTATTTTGTACTTAATGAGAAATAAAGTTGAGAACTTTGATAAATGGATAGTTAGTGTAGACAAGTCTTTTTCTGATCTCAATAAAAAATTTTATTTTAGGATATTCACAGAACTTTTAATTGATTCCAAAGATAAAGAATTTACAAAAGATGAATTATTAAATGTACTTGAAGACCAAGTGAAGAGCTGTTTACAAATTTCATCAACAGCCAAGACTTATTTAATGAATATAAATGGGGATTCTTCCAAAAATCAGAAGAAGAAACATGTTAACGACTTAATCGAGTTTTCTAATAATTTAAACAAAGTTCCTTGCAATTTAGTTGAAGCGAACAGCATTAAAAACCTCTTGGAATGTTCCCTTAAGCTAAAGAAGATAGCAAAGAAATTATTAAATTCAAAGGTTATGAATAGAGCTCGAATCGATCACTGTATCCGTTTGATGAAAGCTATCAACATTGATTTTGAAGAATTATCAGAATTGGAAATAAAATTGTTAACATGCGATTGGCTGGATAGATATAATAAAGTTATATCTCAGCCCTGTCATGTTGAAGAAATAGAAGATTTAATTGAAAAGGCCAGTACATTTCCTAGGAAAAGTTTAGCTTATAAGCAAAGCATTGATCTATCCAAATCTTTAGCTTCTGTAGTCTCATGGAAATATCGGCTAGATATGGCATTATCTTCACCTCATCTTACACCTCAGGATTTAAGAAATTTATGGTCAGAACAATCAGATATGTTACAAGTTATTTTTCCTGAAAAAGAAAGATTATCCAAAATTATTGAACAGAGTGACCACATTGAACTCCAAATGAAGTCATTATTGAGTGGAGAAATGGTCCTTTATCATGAAGAAATTGTAAAATTAGTAGCAGATGCTAAGTTGTTACCTGTTTGTTTTCCATCACTTCAGCAACTGCAAGAAAGTGTAATAGAAGCATCAAGATGGCTTACATCAGCAAGAAAATTATACCTTAAGAGAAGTTCCCCTTTTGATTTAATGAATGCTTTATGGCCTAGAAAATTTGTGAACCGTAATAATTATTACAAGAGAACAAATGGAGTACCATACAACTTTGTAGAATCAATATTTGATGTTTCTGGAAAGAAGTTCTCTAAAAGAGATTATCGGCAATGTTACAAAACCCAAATAAAATCTATATTTGAATTAAGGTTGCAGAACAGTAGTGTTACCATGGGAAAATCTTGTCCATGTGGCTCAGGATTAAATAGCAAAACTTTAGAATGTAGAATTTGTTATACAGTTTATCATAGTCGATGTTTTATAATTGAAGACAAGAGTAGTTATCCTACTTTATATAATTATTTCAACAAGCTTATTTGTAGTTTTTGTTTCCGAACAAAACGTCCACATATAGATAGGGTAAGAGAGTTATATAACGATTTATGTAAGTTGGCTGTGAAAGTACCTGAATGTTTTGCTCTAGAATATAGTCTTTCAAAATTTAATGATTGGCAAAAGAGAGCACAAAGAATACTAGGCACCAAAGAAGTAGTGTCAGCATTGCATCTTATCAATGCTAATTCCAAAAAGATTTTAAATTCAAATTCTGTTCAACAATTAAAAGCCAATGCTCCACCTAATAGTTTGATTGACCTTAATATAGATATTGTTCAACTGATAAATGAAGAAATAAAGGATTTTAGGCATATATCTGTCAGTAATGATAAACTTTTAGAACTTAGACAGCTGATGATGGAAGGTGATATTATGGAAATTACATCCAAAGAAAGTTCAGATATTTGGATGGTACTTGAAGCTGCTAAGATGAGAGACTATTTCATGATAACTCCTGCAATGTTTCAACCGTCTACTTCAAAAATAAATAAAAATCTTGTCAAAACAAAATTAAAAGTGGTTAAGAAGCCTGGAATGAAGTCTGTCAGAAAAAATCCCAACATAAAAAGGATCATGAGGAAAACTAATATGCCTACTATAACTAACCAGAACTATTTGTTAAAAACCAAAATTCTTCAGGCCGAGTCAATATCAAGTATGGCTCCTTCTTCCCCTGGTGCTTCATCAGTAGTTAGTGAAACTGGTGAAGATTGCGCTGCAGAAAATTGTTTGAAGCCAACAGAAGATTCTTTGGATTGGGTTCAGTGCGATGGGAAGTGTGGTCAATGGTTTCACATGAAATGTGTAGATCTCACCAAACAAGAGTTGTCAGAAGATGATGAATTTTTATGTCTTCACTGCTTAGGAGAAGGTCCCTACAATGAAGAAGAAATTCAAATCTGTTCCTTAGATAACAACAGAGTCAATTTCTTCATTCAGTAGGCCTTATTTCATCCAAGCAGCAGTTCTCAGGTAACCATTTAAGTTATATTTAACATTTTTTAAATTTAAATTAAGAATATTTATTACCACTAAAATTGATTGATTGATTTTGTTGTCTTTTTCCATTTTCTAATATGGTTAAATTTAATTAATTTCCTAAACTCTACTTTATTTGTTTGATACATCAGATGTTTTATGTTTCTTAATTATTTTTACTATTATATTTTATCTTTATTTTTAATATCAATTTGATGCTTGTCCAATGTCTGTTCTTTAATTAAATCTTGTAAGTAATAGTTATTTATATCACTTTATTGAAGACTTTATTAAAAGATGTGGCATGGTATATAGATTGTTTAAATTCAGTCTTAGTAACAGATAAATTATATAGGACTAATGGTTTTTGTTATTATTTTCAGACTACCTTAGGCAGTTCATTGGTAAAGTTGAACATCCTGGACAGATGATAACTATTGCTGCTGCTCAAACACTAGGCGTTTCTGAGCAATTATCCAAGTTGGCTGAAGGTAAACTTAATATTTTACTATAATTCTATTGTTTTATGATTTTCTAACAACTTAATCTCTTTTATGTATATGCAGAATTCTATTTATTTATTTGAGTGCTTGTAATACTTTTTTTTTTTTCTTTTACCGTCTGGTTGCGTACACGAATACATCATAAGGTTTGTCCGACACATTAGCTGACCACATACAGTTGTCCTTGTGAGAAGCACAGATTCTCCAAATCTAGTCCCTTTCAGTGATTGCCCTTGTGCTTTTTGATGGTCATTGCAAAAATGAGGCTTCGGAATCTGTAAACGTTTAAATTCAAAGGGCATGCATATCTGTCTGGATCATTGAAATATGTGATAACAGTACAACTTCCCCCTTGAATTTCCCATTTAAAATTTTAGTTTTAATAACATTGTTCATCACTTTTTTCATCACATTATCAATGGACTTGTATGTTGTTGCTTCGCCGAATATTTCACTTTGAATGCTGAAATTGATGGGATAATATAAAAATTTAGGCACTGATAATTTCTGCAATTCTGTGCGATATTTGGAAAACCTTTTGAATTAAATCGGCTTTGGTTGATATCATGTTAAAAAAAATTTGTTGGCAATATGATATAAAATGATGATGAGAAAATTCATTATTATATATATATGAAAATTCATTGAATTCATTTTTTTTTTTTTTTTTTTTTTTTTTTTTTGGAATGTTGATTTTTATTTAAATACCTCAATTCGCTTTTTGTTTTTTTCAATTCTTTTAGTTAAAATTAAATTTAATGGCAGAAACAGTCTCGAACTATACAATAATGACCAACTGAACTTTTTTTGGAAGGAAATTATTTGTTTAAAATGTATCCATAATTTCTCATTATCTAATTTTTAAAAATTAATTTTGTAGCTATAAAAAATTAATGATCATAATTTATTTATCTAAACATGTATATTTTAAAGAAAAATTCAAAATGGAAAAAGTTAATAAAGAATTTTTTCACATTCCCTGTGAGAATTACATGAAATTGTGAGATATTGAAAAAAAGTTTAATTGGCTATCTTACAGAAAGTTGAATTCAATCCCCCTCTGGTATTTCAGATAAAATTATATGAATATTTGAAAATCCCAACCGCTTGTTTCAATTACTCTTAAACTCTTGTTGCTACAATTTTTTTATTATATTTTGTTGCCAGTAATTTTCGCGGCAGTGTACTCAACAACTTCCCAAAGTTTCATAATGATCGAATGAATGGCATAGTAATGCACAAAGAACAGACAGACACGTATATTTTTTTTTGTCCTCCCCTTCATCGCCCTTACAGGGTTTTACCTGGGCCAGGATGAAATGGCAGGGAAATAATGCTAGAGTTAGGATCTTTCCCTTCCCTTACGAGGACTAGGACGTGAACTCGTAATTGTTTTATCATGTAAATCTTTGGTTTATCAAATTATTGGACAAGTGTGGAGGGTGAGTGAGGGTGTGTATAAAAAATCTAGCTCAAAAACAAAGTCATTGCAAATATAAATTGCTTATTTAAAGTAGGTATATACCTGGGATGTTACAGCAGTTTTTTTTTTCAAAAATTTCACCAATGATTTTGATTAAATTCATTTTATCAGTGTGAAATTATGTGGTATTTAATATTAGATAGGTATTATTGTCATTGAAATAATCTAACATGGCTTAAATGTTGAATTTTCAAAATTTCCTTTTGATTTAATTTCTACCTTTGATTTTGTTTATATGTAATGCTAAATCATTTATCATTGTTGCCAGTAATAAAAAATTATCAAACTGAAACTATGAAATAACTAAATAATTAAATGAAGGAGAAATAAGGAATGGTAATTTTGATCAATTACCAGGAATAGGTAATTACCAAAGAAACATGAAAATATGCTTAAGCCAAAAGGCAAGGATAGGCTTCCAAACGTAACACCTGTGTAACATGATATATTCTAAGTGTGTAACATGTGGGATCTGATAATAATATAACATTTACTTGTGCAGTTTTCGTAAATGCTAGTATTGGTATAATGACACAATTTATATAAATTATACAGTCTATTAAATAAATAATTAAAATATACCATCATCGAAGGAAATGGTTAGCGACATAAACCACTACTGTTAATGCAAAAGGTTTTATGTAAAAATTGAGTTTTTTTTGGAAAAGAGCATACAAACCTATTATTTCTTTATGATTTATTAGTATAATTTCATCATGGGAAATAATCTTTTATTTCCCTCCGCTATTTTCATATTTAGCAGATTACTTAAAAGAGTTGCAGACTACAAAATATCACCTTTAGTGCAAAGAGAATAAACATGTAAAATTATTACATATGACCTTTTTCTCTAACAATAGCAATATATAATAATAAAACCACATATTTGATCACTATAGTCCTACTTTATTTGTTATTTTACATCAACGTTTCAGCCCTTAGGCCATCATAAAGGGAACAAACCTTTTACAAATAAAACATTCATCACAGGCTAGTTATAATTGCTAATTAATCATTTTTATTTAATACTCTATTTCGCATATCTATTTTAATAATTAAAAATCATTATGGACTGAATTGCCCTTGTCAACTCAATTTAACTAGTCAAACATTAAAACCTTCCTCTATAAGGTTATGTTTATTTAAAATCTTCATTATTTTGTCACATCCCAAAATTAAAATTTACATTGTTAAACCATCTTAATGTATTGCTAAACTAATTAATAAATATTACATTAAAATTAAATACATTCGCAGCCCTATTCTTAATTCCCCCTTTTTTAAAAACCATAATTTTTATTTTTGACATTCAATTTTACTACTCAATACAACCATTTCTATATTTAAAATTTAACCTAAATTATTCTAAAAATGTACTTAAGCGGGTATACAACTCATTATTTTTGCATTTCCATACATTTATAGATTATTTTTTCTTATTATTTCCACATAATTCTGTCCTATATGTCCTGAATCTCCTTTGAAATTCACAGTATAATTTATGTTCTCTGTAATATACAAAGCTTCTAAAATGTTTGTCTTGTTTGTGTTTTTACTTAAAGTATTGCGGTCGTGAAAATTTTCGAATCTGAGTTTTCAACTGAAATACATGTTTTAAGGTCTCATGAGTCGAAATAACCAAGTCACGTAAAGTGGTCTGTGTGTATGTATGTGATAGGTCTAGCTCAAAAACGAGAAGTTGTATGAAAGTGAAATTGCATATTTAAGGTTTGTATATACCTGAGATGTTACAGCAACTTTTCCGTCAAAATTGGCTAACCGGAAGTGGCACTTTATATCGTTGACGAAACACATTTTTACTATTTTCTTGAAAACGGCTCCAACGATTTTGATTAAATTCATTATATCTGTGAAAAATTAAGGAGTTTTTAATATTATGTAGGTTTTATTCTCATTAATGTTCTCTAACAGGGCTTAAATGGCTAATTTTCAATATTAGTTTCCTCTAAAGTACCTTTAATCTTTAATCTTTAATTTTTTTATTTGAAACAATTAACTGATCTCTAATATAAAAAATAATTAAATATAAAATATGAAAGAATTGTAACAGAAAATAGTTGTAATAAAGGAACCAAAGGGATAAGCGTGGCAGAGCTCACTCTAGCTGGCCCGAAGATTAGAACAGACTTCCATATTAACATGAACTTAATATAATACAGACTCTGGCAATTTTATGTACATATACATAACATTTCCTAAATGTTTTCGTTGGTATTATTTAATATTTAATTGTATAGATTAAAGCTATATAAATATTAAAATTTGTAAATATAAGGGTACTTAAACAAATAAAAATTTCTGCAATGAAATAAAAATCAATATAGTATTTATAATTTTTACTTTCACTTCCCCTTTTTCTGAAAATACTTATTTCTGCTAAGAAGAGGGTGATAAGTGAAAGTTGTGTGATACCCACACTGCACCAGATTTTTTCTTTTTATAGAACTTGGACTTTAGCACAGTCGAATTCATGCTCTTAATTGAAAACACCTACTAGTGCTGTTTTTTTATTGTCTTTGTACATCATTCTGATGCTGGTACATTCTGTCATTGATATATTTCTTAGTTTCTCCTATGTATATTGCTGTACATAGAACCTTGTACTCAAATCTCTTATATCAAACATGGAACCTTATACTCTAATTCCAGTTTAATTTTTTCCAATTTTAACCTTTCAATTACTATAAAAATTGTTTATTTTGTTCTTAGGTCTTAAACTTAAGACATCATCTCCCAAATCATTATCATTAAAGGACCTCTTTATATCTTCTGATAATCCCTTAATGTAATTACAACCACAATACTTTTTTTTACTTATTATTTGCACTATTTCACTGACCCTATTTTCACTTTCTATGTTGTTAACATTCTTCAAATCCAATTCCCAATCTTTCTTGATCAAACTTTTGGGATGAAAATTTCACAAAAACATTTGAAAAACTTTTTCTTTAAATCAAATTGAATACGTATATTTAATAGCAATTTTTTTCTGTTGGCATTACATACCATATAAATCTTTTGCCGCCTTAAGAAGCCTGCCTTGAGCTATTTCTTTCCACTTATCTGCATGCAACTCTTTTGCATAATTTAATGTAATTAAGCAATTGCATTTATTTATAAATTTAATGCAATTGCATAGTTTGGTAATTAAGTGTTTTACCATTTTGATTTTTACTTTCATTTCTCTGTGTGTGAAAATACATCTTTCTAATCAGAGTAGGATTGTAAGTGAAAGTTGTGTGATGCGTGCACCACACCATATTTTTGTTTTTAAATTAAATTTTTTTTTTTTTAAACCGAAATAACTAATCCATTTCAAGAACTTATACTAATAGGATCTTACACCTGTAATGTATATCGCATACCACAATGTACCATATTATATCATGTTGTATGACTTTAGTATTAATGATTTTTGTATTATTGTATATTTTAAGTTAATGTGAGTACAAAATAGCACCATAATTAGTTTTTTATCATTTCTTTCAGGTATCACTTTGCTAGACAAAGAATTAAAGAAACAAGTTCTTGAGAAACATGAAGATTTAGTTTCTCAAGCTACTTGGGTTGAAAAATTGCAAGGTGTACTCTCAGTTATGCATGTACATGTCCAGGTAGTTAACTTATGTAAATAGACCTATATATATATATTAATTTTAAACTCTTTGAAAAAATGTAAATATTGCAAATTATATTTTTAAATATATAAAGATTTTTATGAAAAAATACTAGTCTATTATTTTATTATTTTTTTAAACTCTAGTTTTATTCCGGTTTAGAAATTTTGTGTATATTGTCTTTTAGTAATGGCATAACTGTCTCTTGCCTCTTTGAATAAATGATTCAATATTATAGTGCCTAATTGAGATAGAAAAAAAAAAACGGCATTATTATCTTCTAAGGTTTTAGTTACCTATATTTCCATTAGAATTCTTCTATATGGTTTTAATAGTTAATTGGTAGTATGTTTGTTGCTAGTAAAATATGTTAAATTAAGGAATCCTTCCTTGCTTATTACATTGTATATATGTACATGAAGACTTGAAGTTAATAAACATATATGCACACATTATTCTAGCGTCTGTTTATTATTTTTTATTAATATTTAATGTATATTATTAAATAATTCTGCACATTTTGTTTATACTTAAGTATATAATTGGTGCTTTATATATGCCATGTGGTTATATACACCATACTTATATTCACTATAAACACAATTATTTGATGTATCTTCATTGTTGATTTTTTTTAATGTTTAAATTCAGCTGCAGTCTTGTAATTGTAGTTTTAATTATATTAAATGGTGTAAGATATTTGAAACAAAGCTTTAAATTTAGTATTTTTGTTATTGAAATAATCAATCTTCCAGTATTTTATATTAAGGTTTATCGAAAGAATAGTGAATTGATTTAACCGGTTCTACTGAGAACAAGTATTGTTTCCTTTATTGTTTTATGTTTTCATTTTTTATTACTTATTTATATAGGCATTCAAGTGATAAATAATGATGTATCTTTATTGTTTTGTAATAACTTATTTAATGTTGTTTTAAATTTTTTAAATATTGTATAATTTCCAAAACGGTGTGAATTCTTGCAAATATTTTTTTAAAATGGAAATCTGCAATTTTCTAAAACTGGTCTCCAAATAAAGATATTTTTCTGTAATTGGTTTCAATTTTTTCCCCTTAATGTATAGATGAATTAGGGTTTTTTTTTTTTACTTATATATATAAATATGACAAATCATTAATGAATTGAGTTAAAGCAATCATCAAATCTTTGTAAATCTGTAATTATGACGTAGCAAACTTAAAGTAGATGACTCGAATAACTTAAGCATATTTATTTTTAGATGAAGGGACCAAAACAAACTGGTTTGTTTACTTTTATTCTTTAAAATGCAATAAATCTTACTTTTATTTTAATTTTGATAACAGCTTTATTTATATTTGAAATTATATTAACTTTAATGTTTCTTTATTTATATGACGGGACCAAAACATACTGTTTTGTTTATTTATATTTTTTGAAAAACAATAAATTTTTCTCTGGTTTTAATTTTGATAACATTATTAATTATATTTCAAATTTATATGCTACCTTCAATTTTTTTTATATAGTTTATAAATATAAACATTCTTTGGTATATTATTCTACATCAAGGAACTGTCACTATTTTTTGCCATATATATCATTATTGGAAATATATATATATATATATATATATATATATATATACATATATATATTATATTATATTATATATATATATATATATATATATATATATATATATATATATTATATATATATATATATATATATATATATATATATATATATATATATATTATATTATATTACTAACTATAAAAGTTTAAAAAAGGTTATTTACATAACTGCAAGCTTGATGAGTGTGTACAATGAATCTTTTTGTACAAGTTGACTTCAGAGTCAGACAGACAACTTTGTACATTTTAGGCTACAAAAGGCTTGATCGTTTATAGAATTTGAATTATGCAAGCTTGGATATTCCAATCATGCAGATAATCTCCAATTCACCTTGATAAAGTTAAATGGGAATAGGTTATCTTTTCAATAACCGCTTTTTAAACCATATCATATTTATTTTTACCAATGCACAGATTTTAATGAAACTTCCAAAGTCTTTTCGTAGTACTCTTTAAATTTATGTCTATAATAAACCACTGAAAAAAAAATAATGACAGTAAAATTGGATTTCCAAATACACAAAAAGTATTAAATTTTTTGTTGATCTATGCTTTATAAAAAGTATGCAAAATTTCCAAAGGAATCGTGCAAAGCGGATAGCTTTTGTTTCGGCTTACCAAAACTATTCCATATCTATGTTTAATACTGGATGGATTTTGCTGAATGTTCGTTTGTCATTTAGAAAATTTAATTATCTTTAAAATAAGTTCTAATAAAAAATCACAAAAATATACATATCTTTTGAGTTTTTTGGAGTGTGTTATATATGAAAAGATTAAAGATTTTAGCAAGATAAAAGTTTCATCAGAATTGTAAGTCCTTATGTCTCCAAAAGCTTGTACCGCTATAGCCCATGAAGGGTCTTGTGTTCAGTACTATGTAGGGTAAGTACTGTTTCTAGGTCAATGGTTGTGCAAGGAGGTGATTTGACCGAGATCATGCTCAACTACCAGATTTTCTGCCTTAATTAATAACAGTAGCCACTTTATATAGGCTGGGTGTGCCCCAGTAGGGTCTCGTGACCCCACATCCAATAAAACAGAATAAACAAACTATCTGCCATAAGCCAGAATTCAAACCTGAGATCTTGAAAACTGGAAGCTCTACAATAAATTGTTTTTCAGCTATTTGGGTTGGTACACGGGGTTCGGGAGCCAAAATGTATAATTGAATTAAAGTTTTTATTTACTTTTATATATAAATATCACAAATAATTAATGAATTGAGTTAAAGCATTTTTTTTTTTCTTCCTCCTTTTTTAGGTTATATGTGGATTTTCCCAGGCCGAGGGCTGAGAGCAGCAGGTTAGTGCCACAGTTAAAAGTCCTCCCTCCCCTGCACTAGGACTCGAATGCATAATAATTTTGTCATCTATAACTTCGGTTGTCAGGTTGCTGTGCAAAACATAGTGCTGTGCACACACGTCAGTCCGCTCGGCCACCACTAAAGAGTTATAGCAATTATCAAATCTTTATCTATCAGTAATTATGACATAGCAATAGATGTGTTTAATGTATTTCTTTTATTAGGGTGTGTTAATCATGGGGGGGGAGGAGGTGTTTGGATCATACAATTTGCACATCCTGCTCTGTTTTGAACAGAAGGTATTGTCTGGCAAAACTGGGCTATTTCAAAATTTTTTAAGTGCATTTTAAATGGACCGAAAATCACAAATTCGTGAACACATTTATAAATTGCTTTTGTTTATCAATGCAAAAACTCATTTTGACCAAAATAACTCAAATCTATTTATTATATTGCCAGTAGGTAATAAAAACCTCATAACTCCATCAGTCTATTTGAATCACATAAGTCTTTGAGCTCTATATCCAATCAAATCCAAGAGAGATTTGAAAGTAAATATATTTAATCTATGAATAAGTAAAGATTGTACTAAATAGTAAAATTATAGGTATTAATAATAGATTAATATATTAATAAAGAATTAATAATAGGAATTAAATTTCTATCACTTTATACATGTATTTAAACTCTATTTTTTTACCTTACAAAATTTACTATAATACAGCTACAAGTTTTTCAAAATTTGTCACTCTAATTTTAAATGGATAATCTGATTCCACAGAGGGAAGTTTTATGAAATTATTCACCAATTTAGTTTTCTAAAACCTTTCATAATGATTTTTTTGTCAATAAATCGACAATATATACCTAGTTATTTAAATATATCATCAAATCTAAAGTTATTAAACTTCTGTAGATGTATTTAAGGTTATATTTTTAAAATTTACATATAGTTAAGGAATTTCATTTAGTTTCCATGGAAACATTTGGTTTCTGCTTAATAGTATTAATTTTCAGAAATGATTAGTCATAATTTTTTTGTCACTCTTCATTATGTTCTATGGCTTTATATATTACATTCTTTTTGTCTAAAATTCTCAGCTTTCCAATGATATTATACGTATACCTTCTGACTACTATTAACGGAAATTCATTCCCAACCTAAAAAAAAAAAATTTTCCTTTGTCTCCGTTAGACAATTTTCAAATTCTTTGATACTTTATTTTGAGACCTTTTCAATCAGTGCTCAGAATAAAATTCATTTAATTATTTAAAATATCCCAAATTAAATGTACTTTAGAGTGCAGTTAAGCGACATCGATGAGGATAACATCTACCTGATATTAAAGACCATTTAATTGTAAATTGATATGCAGAGTTTAATTGTTACAGCTATTTTCCAAAAAAATTAATTTTTAAATTTAAATTAATAAATTTAAAAAAATTGTATTTAATTTATTTATATTCATATTTTGTAATATTGCTTCCTTTATTCTATACGGAGGTCATTTCAGAATACTTCTATTGTAAAAATGATATAATTATAATAATAAAACAATTCAAAAATACTTTATTGAATATCTTGAATTTATTATTTAACATTTGCAAATTTAACACTTTGTTTTGTACATTTGCTGGTTCTTAAAGGTTAATTAAATTGTATATACTTTCCCGGAAATGAGTAATATTAATGCCTGTTTTATAATCTAAAATATAATTAATCTGAACTACATATGATGCATAGTTGCCGGGTTGTTTAATAAAACTGATATATCGCTAATAAAAAAAGTTAATTCCATTTTTGTATTTCCTTTTTTTTGTTCGGAGATTGGATACTTATCATAAAAAAACAGGAAATTTTAATATTGAATGCTTTATTCTCTCTACACAAATAAAGATGGAAAGGGTGAAGCTGTATGTTCTTCTTGTTAACCGAAACTAATTGTTAGTATTTAGTATTAAAATGTGGGAAAACGCGAAATTGGAAAAATACATGAAATGAACGAGGAAGGAATTGCCAAAATCACGGAAAAGAAATCAAGAATCATTATTCATTAGATGGTTAAACGAAT